TAGATTTGATAGTTCCAAGTTTGTAGTTGGGTTTAGGTGTAACAATAATAGTAATGGATGACTTAATGAACGTTTTGGCCATTCAGAAACCTAAAAAATTCAGAACTGCAATACCGCCGTAATGTTCTGCGCAATCCGGGGAATGCGTTCATAGAACTGAGTGAAAGGCAATTTATTAAAATATTTCGGTTATCCAAAGACTTGTGCCGTTTTTTAATTCAGTTATTTGAGCCGTACGTACATGCGACCACAAAGAAGAGAGACTGATTTGGATGTGCAAAGCCGGGTAACATTTTTCTCTATTATTGTATATCTATGAAATAACATTAAATTTCAGATTTTAGCTGCTTTGAAATTTTACGGAAATGCTTATTACCAGCCGGATGTTGCTTTATAAATACATCAGTATGTGTCAAGCCTCGGTTTCTCATTCAACTGATGAAGTTACCAACGCTCTAAACCATCCAGAGATATTCGATCAATGGGTTGAATTTCCAAATAATTTTCAAAAACTCAACGGAATTAGAGAACAGTATGGTTTACCATATGGGTATTTATTGCATAATTACGTATTATCATTGTAGATTTTTCGGAATACATAGGTTCCCAGGAGTGACAGGATGTGTAGATTGTACACATGTTGCCATTGTGCCGCCAAACAACATCGAGGATCCCAGAGTATCCAGAACACAAAAAATAACTTGGCGTAATTAGATATGATTTATTATCTGATGAGTAATTTATTGAATTATATGTGTATTTTTTGGATTCAGACAAAGCAGTAGTCAAATTTACTAGATACTTGTTTTCTACAACTAGTGTTTCTTGTGCATAATACAAGAAACATTTTTTTCTTCTAACACAATATTTTCTCACTCAAATTAAACTTTATTTGAATTAGATTATACAACTTACTAATTATTAAAAACACATAAATCGTTTGCAACAACACAACAAACCTCGATTATCAACACCAAGTAATGAAAAGTAAACAAACAGTAAAATATAGGGTTAAACTGGAAAGAATATAGTTTTTACTGTGATTTGTCGACGTTGCCACAGTTCCGGCTCGTAATTTTGCGTACGCTCACGACGTTCGCAAATTGAGATGCGAAGATGGCCGAAAAATTGAATTTTTAAAACGCATTCGTTTTCTAACACTCGCAAAGTTGTACGTTCGCATGTAAACGATCAATTCCAAAAATTGCCCCCCTGGTCGCAACGACCAACGGACGGCCAGGACGTTAGTGTGCGCCAGGCGGATGAAACTGCCATTTGGATTTTGGAAACACGGCGGAGTTTCTGCCAGTAGAGGGATAGATGGCGCTGCGTAGAAATTTCATCTAAAGTCCCTAGATATTCATCTAGGGACTTTAATTTCATCATGATTTTATCAAGTCATCCACAGAGTGTGGTTTAATTAACAATTCGTTTGATTCTCTGTGGAGTAATTGGAGTAGTTGGAGTAGTTGAAAAATATAAATATATAAAATGTTGATAATTTAACAGTGATGTGGCTTTGTTACCCTATGAATAAACATTGATATGAAGTTGCTTTCAAGTTGCTTTCGCCAGAAACAATTATAATTAAATAATTTAATAAAAATTTAATTTCTAAGTGACCCGGATCAGTTAGATTAGTAAAATAAATTGAAAAATAAACGTCATTCCATATTTGGCAATGTCTGTCAGTTTCTGTGAAGTGGAAGTGAATTGTGATTTGTTTTTATGGGAATATTTTACGGATTTTTGCGAATTTAGAGTATTTTGGACGATAGGATTGTGAAATTTAAAAGCCAAGTAGTTTAATATATAAGATTAATTAATCCCTCTGATAATTTTTATGAAATTTCTCATAATCAAAACAAATTCTTTCAACAAAATGGCTGTCTCAGAAATTTGGAAGATCATTAATTTTAAAGTTTTATTTAAGTGTGTTTATATCGAATCAAGCATTTGTATAACATATTAAAAGCTTAATTTTAAAGGTTGTGCTTTTAGATAAATATTAAATATACAAATTTGCAAAGACAAACAAGTAATTTTAAAAAGATCATTTATTTATTTAAACGAGTATAATCATTAATCATTAGGTTGAAAATATATTTGTATTTACTTATTTATATATTTTCTATACCCTTGTATTATTTATAAGCCCTATATGTCCTGTTTTGTTTGAAAAAAATGCTTCGAGTCATTGAGAATAGATTTAATAACAATTTTGTCCCTTGGCTTTGTGTATTATATAATGTGAATTGTAAGATGTTTCTATTTGAATAGGTCATTAAAGTTGAGATTAAAGTTATACCAAATTATATTCACTGTAACTATATGTCTTTTATATAATGAATTATTTATTTATAATTTATAACCTTTTTTATAATTACTTATAACTGATTGTATAAATTCTGATAACTTTTATATATACTTGTATAGTGTTGAATGTGTTATATCCTTGTTTATATATTAATAGTTAGTCAATGTGCCTGTATAAGTCGATGCTGCCAACTGGTGGCAGAAATTAAAACGTAAAAAGGGGCGGAGACTATTGAATTTGGCAAAGAAGTAGGGACTAGGAATTCTTCGAATTTAATTCTCGGTAAAGAATAAAATATCTTATCTGCTTTGAACCGAATTTTTTACCTCAAAGCGTTATTTACATTTTTTTATTTTGGATATGGATTTATATTTATTTTGATTTTCATGGCCCCTTGTTAAATACTAAATTATTATATTAGGTATATATGTATATATTTTATTTCTAGATGGATAATTAAAAAATATATGAAACTATACCTACCTACCTCTGTAACTTTGTAAAAGTATGACGGATTTAACATAATGTTTTTTTTTAAATGTAACATCCTATTTTATTTTAGATCCTGCGTAAAATTATTACTTTTTTATGTATAATCCTTGTATAATGGTGTAACCTAAAACTAGTTTTCTAATATTTCAATTTGTTGATGAAGAAAAAATATTAGATACTATGTAGATATTTAAGGCAGATGCTACAGGGTGTTCAACATATATTAATGGTTAATTCTACGTATTTAAAATTAAAAAAATATCTGCAGACTCTTTCAATGACACAGCCTATACTGAGTGTTTTTTTTTAAAGTGGTTCACCTCTATAACTTTTTTATTTTTTCAGATTCCGAGAAAAAAACTAAATTGGGAATGTTAGTAGGTATATGACATAAATCGAGATTGATTCGTATTCAGTTAGTTTCGGTCACTTCCTGTTTCACCGGAAATGTATACATTTGATTTTTAAATGGTACCCTCGGTATTTTTTATACCGTAAGATCGAATAAAAACGGCGTCAGCGATGGCTATGAAATGAACATCGATGACATTTCTCATATAAATTTACATATAAAATGACAGCGCTTTTCATTTCATAGCCATTGCTGACGCCGTTTTTATTCGATCATACGGTACTTTATTTGATAGAAAATGACATTCTGAATAGAATGACAACTTTTGACATCAACAATCATATGTCAACTTTTGACATTTTCAATTAAATCAAAAATAGCATTTTAAAATTCAATCTAGTGTCATGGCTGTGTTAAAACCATTATTTTTTAATCAAGGATTAATCAAGGAGCTTTGGAAAAATTGATTTGGTCGTCTAATATTTTTTGTGTCTTTTCCTGGTCAGTTGAAATATGCCCATTTCGTATTTTAATCATAACTCAATTTTTTTTAATGAAACGAGAGTGGCTCATTAGCATATTTGGAAAAGCATTTTTTGATACCTAATAAATTTTGGTACCTAATTTTGGTAAATAATTTGGTACCACACACTCCGTATGTCGAGTCAAACTGTCGTTATCTTTACGACCGGTTACATGTTGTTTATTATCATGGCACTCTACTAGATTGAACTTTAAAATACTATTTTTTAAGTAAAAGAGTCAAAAGTTGACATTGAATTATTCTATTGAGAATGCCATATTCTGCAAAATAAAGTAAAAAAATACCGACGGTACCATTTAAAAACCAAAAGTTGTAGTCATTTCCGGTGAAACAAGAAATGACCGAAACTAATTGAATACATCAATCAAGCTACTTTTGAAAAACACCCGATATATTATAATTCTTTCTGATAGATTTTACAAAATCCTTCAACTTCTATTAAGAATGTCATATAACTAAATAAATCACTTTACTTAATGTTTAATAATAAATAATTTTTGTTTTGTCATATGGCAACTTGTTATAATGTAAATGAATTAAAAGAAGGATAAAATTCAGAACAGATTGCAAGCTGTTGAGTATAGGTGTACTTAATATACTTTCTTAACAAATGTTGAAAGGTTTTGTAAAATCACTAGAAAAAATAATAATATATATATCGGATCAGCCAAAAAAAATGTTTGAACACAGTGTAGCATCTAACTGCAAGTATTTTTACATATAAATATATTTTTTTTTCATCTCTGTAAAACACTCCTACCAAATTTGTGTAGTCCAACTTCGGAAACAACTGACAGTTAAGTAACATAGGAATAAAATTTTACTTTTTTTTTAAATTGTAAATACTTACTAACGTTATTTATAAAAAAAAGTTATAGAATTTTAGGCAGAATCGAAAATAAAATAAAAATGGAGTTTTGCATTAAAAAACATGTATCCGCCACATTTTTTGAAGCAACCAGTATACTCAAAAATAACATTTGAACTGTGTCTCTAAAGATTCTCTATACCCTTTTTTTTATTTTTTTGGAATTCCCAAAACAAACGAGATAATTAACTTTATTTCTTTCGTGATATCTCATTTTATAATATTTCGGAAGAATTAATCAGGTATCTTATTTTTATAATTATTAGAAATAAATCGGAATTAAAGGATAAGGGATATGTAAATATATACCATACGATAAAAAAAAACGGCCTCAGAGGTGGTTTGGAAATGAATATCGATGTCATTTGTACGTAAACAAATAGACGCCGTTTTTTTTCGCTCATACCGTATAAGAAAAAAAATTTAATAAAGCAAACGCATTTATTAATACATGTATATAGATTTACATGGTATGAAGAAATTCGCATTATGATCTCTGAAGGTCCCACCAATGCTTGGTTAAAGTGGCGAGTACGACCACTTAGCAGTCACACCTATAATAATTTAATAAAATATGAATATAATAAACAAACTTATTTCTTTTAGATTTTTTAAAAGCGAGTTATATGTGTTAAGTGGTTTTTGATTATTTTAGACTAATTTTTTTTTTAGACATATGATTATTTTAGACCAAATTGTCTGCCCACTCAAACGTCTTTCAAAATTATAATGTAGGAAATTCTTAATATGTTTTAATTGGGAATACTTTTAGAAAGTTTCATTTTCACCAAACAAAACTACGTGTGTATAATAAATTGCAGTATAATCAACTATAATGCACGATATATACTGGGGGCGTCAAAACTAGATGTTGGGTTTTCTCAATTATTTCGAACAGAAGTCCAATTTTTTTCTCCAAAAAATTTTGTCCAACTTTATTTTGAAAAATAATTTTTAAATCCATAATCGATGTTTATACAGCAATGTCCTCTTTTAGAATAGATAATTATTTTCAGCTGCATCGATAAAATAAATCATATTTACTGATGCCAAGTAAAAATAATTAGGAAATTATTTTAGACATCTAATTCTTAATTTTTGTCGCTGATAAATAGATACATCACTTTTGACGACAAACCTACTAATAAAAATTGCGTAAAACAAATCATGTTTATTCGCAAAGAGACAATTGAAAACAATTTAATAACTATTAATTTGGGATATAGATCTTAATAAAACAAAAGTTGCATAAAAGCTTTGTTGATTTATGATATAAAATACAGTGTTTCATTTGAAATAGCAAAGAAAAAATATAATATCTAGTTTTGACTCATCCTGTATATAATAAACAATTTAGTCTATTTTAATATTATTATATGAATTATATAATTATTAATTATTAACTTAAATTAGTTCCAGTAAAAAACGTCGATATTACCTATTTTTTAACTTAACTTAGAAAGAGAGGGCTTTAAATATATATTTTATTATATAAACAATAAAATTCAATCCAAAAGGGTCAAAATATATTCTTTGGTCAAAATGAACTCTATACGACTACGACATTATGGTATTTTTGGAATGACAATTTAATAACAAATCCACCAAGCAAAAATACAAAATATAGCCTTTCTTTTCACAAACTCATAACCTTTGCTCATAACTAATAACTTTAAAAGTAAATATATATTTGAATCATCCTGTATATCTATAAAAATACCTCCCTGTCAAATTTACGCTACTTTTTTTGCAAGCATATTTTACAAAAATATGATTTGAGTGAAAATATAAAATAGGAAATCTGATATGAAGCTTTATCTAAACACAGGGTTGACTGTAGATAAAAATATATTTACGTTATCAAGTTATTAAGAAAAATTCTCAGGAAAAATTATAAAATACACAATATATCTGACAATTCCAAAAAGCAAAGTGAGAAATGAAACAATTTATAGCATAAAATCAGTATTTTTTTAAACTTTTAAGCAAACTGGGCATTATCGTTTTAATCTATCTATCAATCTATCAAATGTTTATTATTAAACTTATCTCAGACTCTATAACATTTTTTCCCAAGAGTGATTTAAAACAAATTTATATGAATTTAGAAATAAATATGAACAGTATTTACTTACCTGTAAAACAGATGCTTTTTGCTTAATTAAATATGTTGGAAAATATTATCCAGTAGGTACAAATACACAACACTTAAACACAACAAAATAAACTAATAAAATAATAGTTTCTAATCCAAATTTCACAAATACTGTTTATGTTTCTTCGCGAGGGACGAAAAAACTGAATTTTTTAATTACCGACCAAACCAAACCAGATATGCATTAAGGTATCAGCATTATCCAATTCAAAAGCTTATAAATATTTATTTTTATAAGACATAATCTAAACGAAACGAAATTACAAGTCGAGAAAGATCAACAAAACTGCCGAATTTAGAAGCGAATATAACTTTTTTTCCTTTTTTCTTGTCACAGTTGAAACAAACAAGGATAAAGCTATTTTCGTAAAACATGGGTGAAACGTGCTAATAAGTGGCCCAATAGATGTGACCTCGCGCCCTTCCATTTTTGAACGATGGGCGGGTTTAACGGATTCCCCTCAAAGAAAATCGTAGGGGAATACAAAAATTCAGAACGGGCAAGGCGCCACCTAGAAGACGGGCTTGTACTAAGCCCTCATTGTACATCTATTTATACATAATCAAGGGTTATATGTAATTTTATTAACAATGTTATAATAAAATAATCAAGTTACAAATTTTTCGTGTTTTATTCTAATTTCAGGGATAATTTCAACCTAGATTATTAATTTATTTGTATCAAAATACATTATTTTTATTTTGTAAAATGTTTTGTTACAAATAAGTTCATAATCTAGATTGAAATTACCAAATATAAGTAAAAAACTTATGAACTGGCAGTAAAGGTCCATTTAAAAATATGGCGCGAACTATTAGTTCTGCCAGTAGCCCGCTTGGATCGCGTCGAGCGCGTGTTTCCAGGCTTTAACATAGGAGTTTTCATTTCTTTCAGTTAGTTATTCTATGGTGTGCGCTATATCATTTGATTTAATGGTTTTAGAGGTAGCTGCGGCCTGGCCGGTGCGATCTGGTCTTCAGTGTGTTCAAGCCCTAAGGTATGCCTATGCATGCAATGTGAAAATAAAAATACAGTTCTATAATAAATGCAAGAAAGTAAACGTTAAAAAATTTACAGCTCAGCGAAGCGACTCAAGTAATTTTTGAGAGTCGACAAAGTGTCATCGTAGTTTGTCAAAATCGCCGCCTATAATTCTGACAGGCAATTACCATTGAAGAAAGAGACGGAACGAAGAAAAGGCCTGGAAGAAGATTGAAAGCAGGCCCCATTCCACCCACGTTGACGGTTTTATTTGTTCGCGTCAGCCCTCACAATGAGCAAAAATTAAACGTTGCCTGTCTTATTAACGTTTTGTCATGCATAATATTTAAATTAATTTCGTATTCGTACTCTGTATGTATGCGTATGTGTGGCTCTGTGTGTGTGTTTTGTCATCTCTCATCTGGGTACTGTAAATTCGCGGCGGAATTACTGTTATTAAAGAAGGTAGAACCACCAAAGCATTTCGTTACGAAATGAAACGAAAATAATGCAATAGATTTATAATTTTTGGGTTTCAGCACATTGTTGTATCTTAAAGAGGTATTCTGTAGAAATATGTTATAATTTTTGAAAAATTGCCAAGGTATTACATACAGGGTGGCGCCTCTTATACGACGCGGAGGCTCCAAGGAGAACGGTAGTTTATATCGAAATGAAATTTTGGGAGCATTTTCCCCAAAAAAGGTACACATCAAAGTTGTGTTTTTTGTAATGGAACACCCTCTATATTATTTGATTTTCGGATTCTAGGATAAAAATAGAGGTGATTTTTATGAAAGAAGCATATGCCTAAACTGTAAGGATTTTGACATATTTCGCATTTTGTGAAAATGAAGAGTAAATTTTAAATTTTAATAACAGAGCTACCTAAATCTTAATTTACCCTCTAAAACCTGATATTTAATTACAATAACCATTGTATGTTAAACCAAATTAAAATTTGACCCGTAAAGTTATACAGGGTGAAACAAAATTAAGGGCCGGCGGAAGAAAAATATTGAGACCGGGCGAGTACCATATCTGGCGCCCCCTCCCTAATGGTTATTATAACTCCCTCTTTCCTTCAATTACTTACTTTAACTACAACTAAACATATTTATGCTACTTTAACAATAAATTTTTACTTAAAGATACTTCAAAGTTCTTCTCTTCGTTCAATCTTAGTCTACGGTTGTTGTTTTTTCAACACCGGGTGCCTCTTAAAAATCACTCACCCGTATAACTTTTTTATTTTTTTTAGATAAAAAATCGAGATTTGGTATGTTAGCATATGACATAAATTAGGCTTGATTGACGTATTTTCGCTTAAAAAATGTATTTTAAATTTCAATCTAGAGTGTCATGATTTTGATAAAAACACTGATTTATGAATTTACTAGGAGCATTGAAAAAATATATTTGATCGTCTAATGTTTTTCGTGTCATGTCCAGGCCGGTTAAAAGATGCCCAAATCGTATTTTTAATCATATCTTAATTTTATCAAATGGAACAAGGGTGGCTCATTTGTAAATTTGGAAAAAGAATTTTTTACGAATAATTTGAACCCACACACTTGGTATTTCGAGTTAAATTGTTATGAATTGTTCGCCGTTATGAACCGGATGTTACAATTTCAAATAAATCATATGCGAAAATGTCAAAAGTTGACTTATGATATGTCATTCTATTCAAAATGTCATTTTCTATCGCATAAAGTAGAAATATACCAAGGGTGCTATTTAAAAATACAAAGTTGTAGTCAATCGAATACGTCAATTCACTACTACTGACTACTGACTAATTGACGTATTCAAAAACAAATGAATACGTCAATTATTAATCCTAATTTTTGTTGTATGAAAAAATAAACAAGTTATAGGGATGAGCCACTTTTGAGACGCACCCGATATATAGAGCTATAAGAAATAGAATTCCAATTTCGGTAGTCTCGTTCTGGTATAAGTGATCTTTGAAAGCATTAATATTTAGTTGCAAGCAGTTGCATTAATTTTCTATAAGAATTTAGGAAAATTTTCCTTTCTCTTTCACAATGAATTATTTCGTGCAGAATCAGTATATGATCAGACAGTTTTGTCGGCTTAAAAATGAGGATCAGCCAGTGTTTGAGATGCATTTCTTTGTGAGAAATTTTTCTTTATGTAATTTCTCTAATGAGAAAATTCTACGATTCTGCCACCATTTTCCGTATATTACTACATATTCGATCCGGAACAATCAAAACCACCAAAAGATTGATATCTTTTCCCACTACTGTTAATAAATTACTTTAATTAATGAGGCAAACTTATAAGCTTTTTTTGATATTAAGGATATCGGGATCCTCTTCAGCTTCTTGCGAATGAATATTTACCTTATATAATGTGCATACCTCATATAATGCATTACTGGTATCAGCCATTAATAACAAATAAAGGTTGTGGGTAGTAGAAAAAGTGCGATTTTGACCGGTCAGTCTTTGCTGGCCCTTGACTCAAAACAGTTTGTTTAGAAATTTATAAAAACGAGAATTATAGAAAGAAGGGTTATTTACAAAAAGTTGTTAGTGAGTTTTAAGTAAAATATCACGAACAAATCAAATTTATATTCTTTATTTTATTTTGTTTAAGATTCTTCCACGAAAATGAATTCGCAAATCCTAGTTTCAAATAGAGTAATACCCAAAATACATATAGAAAAGCTTAACAGAAAAGGAGAAATCAAAACTATCCCGAATAAATGAATAAATGCCTTTATTGTCAACAAATTTTTCAATTTGTAGACAAAGGTAAACTAACAAACAAAGTAAAAAAACAAGGTACACAAACAAACAAACAAAAGATAATACAAAACATTATACAAATAATATTGTCAGTCTTATTGTTAAAATAAACATTTATAAATGTTTATAATGTCAAAGAACAAAAAATAAAAATAATATTCAAAAATATTTAGCTAGTTTATAGTAAAATATCAATGACCTCTAAATAAATTCATTTCGATGTCATTAGTAAATATAGCAATAGCAAACATTAGACCAGTGTTTACAAGATCAAATTTGATTTTCAAAATATAATTCATTTACGGCGTAGAAAGCCTTGTCTAGTAAATAAGAGTTCAATGCTTTGCGAAATGAAAAAAATGATGTTATGGATTTGATTTCAAATGGCAGGTGATTGTGCATTTTTTTCGAGTTGTATAATATTGAACTTTTAACTAACTCTGAGCATGGGGTAGGTAGATAAAGATCTTGCTCCGCGTTCCTGAGTGGATGGCCTTTCTTGAGAAGCTGATACATGTTTACGTATTAGGCAAACGGATTCAAATATAAATAAGGAAGGAAGAGTCAATATTCTTAATTTTTTTAAAAAAGTCCCGGCAATGAGTTCTGCTGTTTAGTCCCAGTGAATATCGAACAGCTCTCTTCTGGAGCCTGAAAATGCGGTCAAATTGAGTCGCACAACACGTACCCAAGAATGGAAGGGCATACCTGAGGTGCGACTCAAAAAGTGCATAATAAACAGTTCTAGCCACTGACAAGTTAAGCTCCTTAGAAACAGACCTTAATGCAAAACAGGCAGAGCTCAATTTTTTCGACAAAGCTTTGATATGTATGTCCCATTTCAGAGAATTGTCCACAACAAGCCCTAAGAAATTTACAGATTTGATGACGTCAATGGTGGTGTTGTTAAGTACAAAAGGCTGCAACGAGTTTTTATACGACAAAGCTTTAGTTTTAGAAATGTTGAGACTCAGGAGGTTCGAATCGCACCAAGATTTAACGGTGATTAAGTCATTTGATATAATCCTATGAAGTGCCGTGATGTCCTTGTTGCTCCAAGTGAAGCTAGTGTCGTCCGCAAAAAGACATATTTTGCCACTGATGTTTATGTTAGCAATATCGTTAATAAAAAGAAGAAACAAAATAGGGCCTAGTACTGAGCCTTGTGGTACTCCACATTCTATTGGCTTGCTAGAAGACAACGTGGTATCCACTGGACTTCTGTTGCTCAGATATGACTTAAACCATTCGAAAGATGATCCCCTGAGCCCATAGTGCTGTAGTTTATTAATTTACACAATCGAACGCCTTAGAAAAATCACAGAAAATTGTTGCTGTAGAATGATGGTTATTTAGGCTGGAGTAAACTTTATTAAGGAGGGAAAACAT